ACCAGGCACACAGCACTGCAGGCTCCGTAGGTGTCTCTCGTCCAGATGGATGAAGGAATGATATCGGCTTCTCAGGGTAAAGCCTTAATATTCAAAACTTAAAAATTAGAAAGCAAACTCTGGTCCAACAGAAATGCTTTCTGACTGATAAGAGACATAGTTTTGCAAATTCCTTGGCTTATGACTTCATTTCAAAGTTTAGGCAAAGGCACTGAGAACAGCTGGACTAAAGCCCAATTCTCTACTTCACACACGGAAAGGTAGTCTGTCATTCTCCAAGGCCGACGTGTGGTCACCTGACAGTTTGGCGCCCTGCGTCGCTGGCCACTGTGTTGAAGACAGCTGTGCCTAGGCATTACAGCAAGGACAAACCCCAACAGCTGTCATTCCATACTTGTCAGCATGAGATGGGAGACCAAAAGGCTATTTCTGTCCATGGAAGGGCGCAAAGATAGTTTCTTTCCAGAAAGAAAGGGGGTGGGTTCCCAATAACTCAGGAGTACTCTACGTACAGAAGCCATTGTCGTCTGGCCTTCAAATTATTTGCTAAAGAAAGAGCTCAGGACAAGCGAGGTGTGTTGGGAATCCTTGGTGAAGTACCATTGCACCTGGAACCGCAGCTGCCAGGCACCACTCCCGCTGTCACCGAGATACCTGGGCTCCTTGCTGCTGTCTTGCTCCCCTTGGGCGCTCTCCTCCACTTAACAGGCACTCCTTGGGTAAAACCACCCTCCTCCCCTTCTCCTCAAAGTCAAGTCCCAGACTTTACAAAGGCCCCCAAGGCCCTGCATGAACGATCCATAAGGATTTCTACAACCTCTCCTCCTAGGACACTTCTGATAACCCTTCAACGTGTCTGCCAAGGCACCACCTGTGCCCTCTGCCAGAGATGCTCTTCCCAGATAGCCCAGGCTGTCCTCTGACCTCCTTCAAGTCTCGGCTCGAATGCCACCCTCCTGGGGACCCCCTGGGCCAGCTCATTGAACGTCGCACATCATCTCCCCACTCCCCAACCCTGTAACAGTTCTCAAATTCTACCATTTTTAACCTTATCAGCTGTCTCTCTTCTTCCTCCAGAATGTGACGTTCCCCAAGGGCAGAGTTTCTGCTGTTTTATCCACTGGTAGTATCGCTAGAGCCCAGACTGGCACCTAACACATAACAGGCACTCCGTAAACACTGCCGAGTGAACCATTCTATAGCAAGCATGTCTTCTCTTCGCCTTTGTCTTCCCACAAGCTCTGCCTACATTTGATGCTTATCTGAAAAACCTATGTTTGTAGTTAATGCAGATATCTCTTCACTGAAGGCTTGTTGGGCAGCAGAATCAACACCAGCCGTCACTGTTTTCATACTTCAGTGGCCACGTGGGCTGCTTAGTGACACAGACCACGTGGAAGGGGCTATTTCTCTAATAGTGTGATGGCCAAGAACACTGGAGTAGTTATAGAACATCCACATGGGATGGCTGGATTCAAAATGCTGGATGGTTCCAAAATAGCATCAGATAAACAGGAGGTATACAGTTGCACAAAGAAAATACCAAGTAATTTATCATTAGCTTTTCTCTTGAAGTGCTGGGTCAGATTTTTCACCTGCTCTAAGCCTCTGGCGGAGAAAAGCACTGTTTGGAAAGCGAAAGCTGTAGTTGCTCAAAGCTGAGTTTGGCTGAGATAGTAGAGTTTACATTCCATCGTTGGCTAGATCCTTACTCCATGGAATGTCCCAGAACAGGGTTCAGGCTGTGGCGAGGTCGGTTGTACTCTGACCAAACACCACCTCAGGCAATTGAACATTATCCATTGACTTATACATTTTAAGATGCATGTCACTTAGACTAGACACGTTTCGAATATCTGCCTGTCACTCCCCCGGGGCCCAGCTGAAGGCCACTGAGTGGAGGAATTCACTCCCATGGGTAACTTCCAGACTGGCCATCCAACCCTCCTTGCGTGTGAGTAACTTAATTCCGTGCACATTTGTTGCTCTCTCTGGGCTGAGGTGGGACGTGTGTGACTAACAAGTCCACCTTGCTCTCTGCACGCATTTGGAAACACGCACAGTTCCGCCTGCTGGGAATTCAGGGCCCCCTGCACTTGCAGGATCAGCCGAGGAAACAAGACCTCTCTGAGCCCCAGGTGTGGGGGCGCGGCCGGGGACCGCCGAGGACAGACCTGCCCCATCAGCGCAGCCCTGGCCTCGGGCAGCAGCAAGCTGCAGAGACATCGGAATTGAGGGCGGTGCCACTCAAATTTGCAGATCCCCCGGGCCCCCCACCCCGGCCCCCTGCCTGCAGGCCCGGGACCGGTGAGGGAACCTGCTTTCCACACTTCGAGGAGCGCCACCCTTAAATCTTCACCAAGCCACTGAACGCCTCTTGCTCAGCAAATGCTTGAAAAAAAACCACAACAAAAAAGCACCACCACACAGACCTGAAGTCGCTTTCACGACTTTAAATCCATTCATCTGTGGACAGACTCCTTCTGCTGCGTATCTCCCAGATTTTTATATCGTATGAGAAAAACTCGCAGGCCGACTAACTTCATCCTAACCAGTATCTGGGGCAGGGGCGGTCGGAGGGTAATGACTTTGAAAAGAGAAAAATGATTTAGCAGCTACGTGGCCTCTGAGGAGCAAGAACAACTTCACCTTCCAGGGGGTTTCCTGGAAGCGGGTGGAGCTCGGAGCCCCCAGTCCCACCATCGGGGCCAGAACAGGCACGGCCAGCGGCACCCAGGGCAGAGTGGGTGAGACAAGAGAGAGGCGCCGCGGGCCGCGGCGCCCTCCGGCCGCTCCCAGCGTCTCCTTGGAATGGAGGTGAGGTTCACGCAAGGTGACAGCGATGGCCCTGGAGCTGCTTGGCACGGCCGGCCTCCACTCAGCGTGGAGAAATTCACCCTGACCCTGGCTGCGGGCCGCCTGGCAGCGGCTCACTTACATTTTTACTCAATTACTATTTCTAAGAACAGAGACAAAAAAAAAAAAAAAAAATATGCGGAGCCCCACCGCTCGGCAGTCTTGCGTGGAAGGCCTGTGTTGGGGGCGGGGGGGCGGCAGGGTTTTCCCACAAGCCTGTAAGCGGGCGTGGTGGCGGTGCCCCCCACTTCCCCCACACGAGGTAAGTCCACAGGCAGCCTCCTCCTGTCTCCCCTCCCACGCGCCCCCTGCCCCCACCCCCGGCCCCACTCCTGATCCTCCCAGACTTTCTGGAGCAGGGTGGGTTTCCACTGCTTTCTCATAAAAGAGGGACGCCTGCAGCCACCGAAATGACCGAAAGTAACCCCAGGTGGGGGGTGTCTGAGAAGCAAAACCCCGGGAGGACCACTGTAGGCCTCTCCCTTGTGCTTGCCATGGGAGGAGGAGACGGGAAGGAAATTAATGCAAAGCAGTAGGTAAGAAAATTATAAAACGGAGGGGCAGGATTCCAAAGAGAAAGCAAAAGGAAGGCAAAAAAAAAAAAAAAAGAAAGAAAAGGGCAAAAAAGTCCGGGGCCGTGCAGTCGAGTGCCGAGCATGAAGGCCCCACCCGCGTTCGGACCTTGGCCCCGCCCCCACGGATCTTGATGAGCCAGGACCAGGTGTTTGCCCGGGACGGCCTCCCGGCCCCTCCGGAGCCGCTGACAACGTGGGGAGGACCAGGAGGATGTGTGTTAAGTGACAGGGACATAGAGGATGTTCAACACATGTTTCCCTTTTCTCATTCCCTCCCCTGTTCCTTTCCAAAAAGCTACTGGGGGAAAAAACATCAGACAATTAACTTCTTGGTTAAGACAGTGAAATAAAATACACATTTAGAGACTGACTATAAAATAAAATCCATCTCACAAAAGAGACCTTGAAAAGCATGGATGAAACCTTTCATTCTTTTTATTCCCACGGTGGCTTCTCACTAGCCACTCCGAGGCTTTCTGGACTGAAATAAATGCATACTCTCAATAAAGTGCTTTTTGAGGAAACCCCAGCTTAGGCCGCTGTAAATAAACCATTTTATTCCTTGATTCCTGAGAAGCAAGGTTAAGCACAATCCATTACAGAGGAGGTGGTGCCAGCAAATCAGACATCTCTTAGGGTAATAAAAAGCATTTCTTTTGTCCTATCTGGGACCTTTGCCCACGTTTAGAATCAATGTAATCCAGACCTTCTCAGGGACTTAAAAATTCAGAGTGAGCCAATGCTAGCATCAGAGGTCCACTTCCTCTCTCCCTGGGCTTGGGCCAGGGGCAGCTTGGGTCACTGAGTTCTTCAGTGTCAGGAACATCCTGTCCTTGGCAGTGAGCTCATTGCCCGGCATACAGTAGGTGCTCAATAAAAGCCGGCAGAATGGATTAACGTTCCAAAGCAGAGTGAGCACTCTGGCTTCGGAGCCCCCCAGCCTGGCACGTGGCACTGGCTCTGAGGGTCAGGGCTCAGTGGTGCCAGCAGGTGGCAAGGGCTGAGGTCCCGTCGGCTGGAGTCTTGACCTCATGACAACCCATTGTCTCATGCAACCCAGAAATGACAACATGGAGGTCACACATAATGGCATTGGCATAATTCTCCCACAAGCCTCCCTCTAAAACTTCCAAGGAGAGGGGAAAAAAAAATCTCCTCATTAATTGGGCAACTGCTATGTGCCAGGAGTAAGGACATAGATACAAATAAGATACCAAAAAAAAAAGGACCCTTGACCTTCTGGCCACATGGTTCAGCCCTCCAGGGAGTACCCTCCATGGGGGTCAGAAGATCAATATTGCAAGTCCCTCTAAGCCCGATGACACGTCGCTCATACACCCCACAATCCACCCTGTCACATAGACCAATCGAGCCATCCCATGATTTCAAAGCTATTTGTGAGTATTTCTCATACGCACGGCCAACTGAAAAAATCAGGGGCACCTTTGTGCAAGGCTGCGTTTCAGAGTTGCACCGTGCCTCGGACCGGCTCCCCACAGGACACAGACACTACAGAGAAAGTCGATATCACTACGTCAAATGAGGTATAAAGCAGACAAGAGTACTCACCAAGGTACCCACAGAGCACCTGGGACTGCCTGGAGCACCAGCTGCCCACTGAGCCAGAGGGTGTTGTAACAACTGGGCAGACAGCTAGGAGTTTTAAAAAGCACAGTCATTAGCTATTTTACTGACGAGAGGCCTTGCACAGAGCTATACAAAGATTCTAAGTAGAAGAGGGACTCAAGGCACGTTCTTATCATTTTCCCCAGGGAATATAAGGTCCCTGCTACTTGGGGCCAGGGACCAGACATTGCACATCTACAGGGGCGTTCTGGACTCTGGTCCCAGGCTTTTGGCACCCCTTAACCAGCCGTCAGGCTCCTGAATTCACTTTTCCCTTTAACACGGTCGAGTGTTAAAATAACAATGTACAATTTATACACCGAAATGTTAAAATAAATACCTTGACTTCTACTGAAGATGAATAGGAACGGCCTTGACCTCCTTTGACAAAAGACAGCCTACCTATTAAGAATAAAGGTCTGTTTTTCATTTGGTTGGCCTAGGTTTGGGGTTTCTTAAAACCACCTGTCATCATTTCTCACCCGCACGTGAAAGCTCCTTGAGTGAGTCAAAAACACAAGTGTACGTTGGTCTGGGGCTGCTGAGCCCCGGTTGAAACATTTAGGGCTCCTTGGATGGGATAAAACATATCTTCCATCATTGTTATTACATCCTGAGGTTTGGAACTTCACTTCCTTTAAAGTAACAGCAACTAGATCTTCCGTAGGCCCACCGTATTATTAAAAAGTGACACCAAAAGTGGAAGAGAAAGCCCTGCTAAGAGTTCCAAGGCTGTTCGGTCACTGGGAGAGTCAACTATAACTACAGGAGTTTCGCAGGAGAAGAGGCGGATTGAAAACCTGTTCTGTCACCGATTTCCTGTGAACCTTGGGACAAGTTCCCTGGTGCGCCCAGGCCCCTGAAGTGGACATAGTGCGACCCTGGAGGGTTATCAGAAGATTGAGATGAGATGGTATTTTTAAAAGAGACCGACAGATAGAATGTCATCAAGGGATATAACACATTGGTTGCCTAACTTATTGGACAGAAGGGTCCCTGGCTCGCTTTAGGCCTGGCACGGACAGGCTTCTGGCCTAGCTCCTGCCACAGGCTGAACGTCTGTCCATGCGCCGGCCCTTCACCTGGGGCATGTCTTCTAGAACCAGAGTCCCCAACCTCCAGGCCGCTGGTGGGGCCTGTTAGGAACCGGGACGCACAGCAGGAGGTGAGCTTGAATGTTCCGCACTTGAATCATCCCAAAACCATCTCCCCTGCCCTGGTCCGTGGGAAAACTATCTTCCACGAGAAAGGTTCCTGGGGCCAAAAAGGTTAGGGACCACTGTTCCAGAGACAGCATGGTCGCTACTCAACCCTGGCCTGAAAACTTCCTTTGACAAAAGACAGTGGCCTTATGGATTCCTCTCTCATGTTTCTTCCAGACCTGCCCCTTTTACCTCTCGAATTTAAAATAGATCAGACACACGTTTTCCATCCCCTGTAACTTACCGTCGCCAGCACTGAGACCGCTAACAAAATCTCAGTGACATGCTTTCACACTGTGTGGACCATGCCTCCTCGTGGGAACCCTCTCTAACAGAGATGTGGGACCCCAGGCGACCCGCGCGGCATGGCGAAGCCCACACCCGGGTCTCTGTGGCACGCTGCTGTCACACAGGCCCCACGGGCGGTGCCAGCGGCCACCTGCACACACATCCTCACCAATAAGCAACCATGCTGTTTATTTTTAGAGCCTTCCCCACGGTCTCCCGGGAGAGAAAGTCCCCTCAGATAACCAGTCGGCAAGGACAGGAAGCTACACTGGGCACAAACGGGTTGTCACAAGATTAGCAAGTCAAAGTCTTCGCGCTGGTATCTGACCTCTAAAGGAGATGCTGAAAGGCATCTTCCATAAAAAACTCGGGATCAACTGAGAAAGGCAGAGTAGCGTGCAGCGTAGGCTTCTCCTCCCAACTAGGGCCCTATGCACTTCTTGGGGGGATTTAACTCCTTTTCCTGGGAAACGGCGGCACCATCTTCGGGCCAGTGGATGTTGTGGGACGATTCTAGGAGTGGGGTTCAGATCCTTGAACTTGTCCCAGGCCATCCTGCTCAAAGGAAGTCTATGTAGGAACAAGGCAAGGTCGCTGTTGCCATTTGCAATTTCCAACAAGCAAGTAGGCACCTTCGATGTCCTTTCACTGTGCTATTAGGCCACCCTAGCGAAACCTTCTCATTTATTTATTTATTTATTTAGTTGTTCATGTGTTTGTTTTTAAGCCAGGACAAAGGGAGGGGGGTGCTCTGGGGCCGATCCAGTGCCCCAGGAGTTAAAACCGTGAAGGGGATGGAGATAGAAATGAGGTGTATAGTGGTTAGTTAGGCTAAAGAAAGCAATTCTTAGTCTAAAAGAAAATCAATTTTCAGCAATCTGTGGGATTGAAGTGGCCCTGTGGGCTTTGGGTATAAACGAAATGCTTTTTAAAATGGAAAACCCTAGGAAAAATCTGAGACATTAATAATCTTAGAGAAATAGCACTTTCTGGAAGTACTTGGACACTCCGTAATTCATAATGGGGGTCTTTGTGGCTCAGAGAAGTTGTAAGATAGAAACAGTCCTGAAAGTAGAGTCCTTTACAAGATAACCAAAAGACGATGAAGGCCTGGCTGGCTGCCTCGGTTGATTAGAGCGCCATCCCAATACACCAAGGCTGCGGATTTGACTCTGGTCAGAGAGTATACGAGATTCAGCCAATGAATGCACAGACGAGTGGAAGAACAAATTAGTGTTTCTCTCTCTGTCTCTTCCTCTCCCTCTCTCTGTATCCCTCTCAAGCCAGTTTAACAGAAATAAAAAATGACAATGACGTTAACTATAGAAGCACTGGGGCTCACATTTGCCTATGATGACAAAACTACGGTGCAGCGCAACGACAGAAACACCCCGTGTCTCCAGAGTCTCTCTGAACTACCTGCCCAAGAATCACCTGGCCTTCGTGTCAAGACACAGGTGTCTGGAGCCACCTGAAAATGACCGGACAGTAATCTGGATGGAGGGGAGGGGACAAAGGTTGGGGCACAGGTGTCTCTCCGCTTGGGAGAATTCGAGAACCACTGGCCTTTCACCAGATTTCATCTTGCCTCAAAGCAACCCAACCAATTGGATCAAGGGCTCTTTGTTGCTAGTGAGGGGAGGTTTTGTGTGGTGTGAAAGTGCCTACAAGAGAGAGGCAGAGCCATTCTTGCTGCAACAGTACCTTCGGCAGAATTCAATGTCATTAAAAAATGCTTCTGAAACTCCATGTCCAATTAAATTCCTGCCTCAATCCCTCTCCAGCCCTCCACACACACGCCTCTCTGGTGATCACAGGAATCCCACAAATGGACCCTGTCATTTCTTCTCGACACTGTACCACAATGGACTTTGACTCAGAGAATTCCCAGCAACTGTTACTGAGAGAGGGCAAACTGCTGGTCCCAGTGACTGGGGGCAACGTGGCTCAAGACCCACCCTTCGAGAGTCTGAGAACTAATGCCAGAGAGTTAATGAAATTAGACACGATGCTATACACATAATAGCGTTACAGGTGGTGATGTTTTCTGACAGCAGAATTCTTCTGAAATCTCTCTCTCTCCCAGGCAAACCAGCACCAGTGCTCTCATTCTGTGGAGGAGAAAAGCCTGGGTTCAGCCGGTGAAACGGTGGTCACTCAGGGCTCAGCGCACAGAGCTGACCAGGACTTCCGTTCACACACTGAGCAACCCAAGGCTTCATCCTATGAGGAGGCACAAACAAAGGACTAAGCCATTATTCAAATCAACATGATTGTTTTTAATCCTCATCCAAGGACATTTTTCACTGCTCAGAGAGAGAGAGAGGGAGAGAGAGGAAGAGAGAGAAGTATCAATTGGTTGCCTTCTCATATGTACCATGACTAAGGATTGAACCCACAACCTGGGTACGTGTGCTGCCCGGTAATCAAACCTGTGACCTTTCCATCTATGGGACAACACTCCAGCCAACTGAGCCACACCAGCCAGGGCTCAACATGATTTTCAAACAGACCCATCTAGGGTGCCAATGCTGTTTCAGAACCTGAGGTAACAGCCATAACTAAGCTTTGTTTCGGCTCAGCCACTCCCGGGTAAAAGTCAGGAGCTCTGGCTCCAACCTCTGTCCCTCTCCTTAACTTCCAAAGCCCCAAACGCCAGGAGACGAGCTTGCCTGTGGAAACCTTTCCCTGAAGAAAGCCCGACAGACCTCCAGGGTCACAGTGCCTTGACCAAATCATCCACCTTGTGCAAAGCAATGTCCTCAATCTGGGATATTTTGGGGGATTCTAAAGAAGACTCAGAATAAACAATTCACCATTTTTTTTTTTTTTTTTTTTTTTTGGTGGCTTTCTCAGCTGCCAACTTAATTCTAAGACTTTAGGATAAAGAAATACATACAACTTCAATGGTATTGTCATTAAGATATCCAAGCAGAAATGAAAATGAGAGTAAATCAATGGCTAGGGAAATCAGTGACTAAGAATAAAACCTACATGGGGAAGAATGATAAAGTTATTGCTCTGTGTGGTGTAGAGAGAATGAACTTAGTCTGAGAAGCGTTGAATTAAAAATACTGAAATGAATCCTAAACTTAAAAATTAAGTTATATTTCCTAGAAAATTCCCATTTATGATTTGGCAACAATAGTGTAGTGCTCTTATCAGGCATCAATAAATACTGTATTTATTAAATTTGCATTGACCGGTGGATACACGGTCATTTCAGTGTCTTTCTTGAAAACAAACTTGGTATTCTCATTCACAAGATGAAGTGACAAATAAGGATGCTTCCGACAGCCCAGAGTTATGAACGAGTGGTTATTTGTGAACTAGCTTGTTAAGACAGATGTGGTATTTGTCAGTGTGGTGTCAGATCGGAAAAGGCAAAAGGCAAAAGGAGAGAGCCAACATCTAAGTCACAGCATTTCTCTTTCCCTTTCATGAGACTGGAAAGATGCTACAGTATTTCCTGAAACAAACAACATTTCAAAAACAAAACAAAACAAAACAAACACCAAACCCTCTTCTCCTCAAACA